TCCACAAACTTATATATTTACCAGAATTCCTGGTGATACATATTTCATTTGTAATTAATAGGTCTGATCGACACCATGCCTAGCCCTTCTAGGGTTTACCTGGAGTTTACCTGGAGAGAGTTCCGGGGGTCAACGCCCCCGCGGCCCGGTCTGTGACCAGGCCTCCCGGTGGATCAGAGCCTGATCAACCAGGCTGTTGCTGCTGGCTGCACACAAACCAACGTACGAGCCACAGCCCGGCTGGTCAGGAACCGACTTTAGGTGCTTGTCCAGTGCCAGCTTGAAGACTGCCAGGGGTCTGTTGGTAATCCCCCTTATGTATGCTGGGAGGCAGTTGAACAGTCTCGGGCCCCTGACACTTATTGTATGGTCTCTTAACGTGCTAGTGACACCCCTGCTTTTCATTGGGGGGATGGTGCATCGTCTGCCAAGTCTTTTGCTTTCGTAGTGAGTGATTTTCGTGTGCAAGTTCGGTACTAGTCCCTCTAGGATTTTCCAGGTGTATATAATCATGTATCTCTCCTGCCTGCATTCCAGGGAATACAGGTTTAGGAACCTCAAGTGCTCCCAGTAATTGAGGTGTTTTATCTCCGTTATGCGCGCCGTGAAGGTTCTCTGTACATTTTCTAGGTCAGCAATTTCACCTGCCTTGAAAGGTGCTGTTAGTGTGCAGCAATATTCCAGCCTAGATAGAACAAGTGACCTGAAGAGTGTCATCATGGGCTTGGCCTCCCTAGTTTTGAAGGTTCTCATTATCCATCCTGTCATTTTTCTAGCAGATGCGATTGATACAATGTTATGGTCCTTGAAGGTGAGATCCTCCGACATGATCACTCCCAGGTCTTTGACGTTGGTGTTTCGCTCTATTTTGTGGCCAGAATTTGTTTTGTACTCTGATGAAGATTTAATTTCCTCGTGTTTACCATATCTGAGTAATTGAAATTTCTCATCGTTGAACTTCATATTGTTTTCTGCAGCCCACTGAAAGATTTGGTTGATGTCCGCCTGGAGCCTTGCAGTGTCTGCAATGGAAGACACTGTCATGCAGATTCGGGTGTCATCTGCAAAGGAAGACACGGAGCTGTGGCTGACATCCTTGTCTATAAGTAAGTAAGTAAGTAAGTAAATTTATTCAGGTATACACAAATACAGTTACATATAATTATCATACATAGCAGCATATGTGTAGAGAACCTAGGATAACCCAAAAAAGTCAGACAGAGTGACTTATTTCCATCGGATATGAGGATGAGGAACAAGATGGGAGCGAGTACTGTGCCTTGTGGAACAGAGCTTTTCACCGTAGCTGCCTCGGACTTTACTCTGTTGACGACTACTCTCTGTGTTCTGTTAGTGAGGAAATTATAGATCCATCGACCGACTTTTCCTGTTATTCCTTTAGCACGCATTTTGTGCGCTATTACGCCATGGTCACACTTGTCGAAGGCTTTTGCAAAGTCTGTATATATTACATCTGCATTCTTTTTGTCTTCTAGTGCATTTAGGACCTTGTCGTAGTGGTCCAATAGTTGAGACAGACAGGAGCGACCTGTTCTAAACCCATGTTGCCCTGGGTTGTGTAACTGATGGGTTTCTAGATGCGTGGTGATCTTGCTTCTTAGGACCCTTTCAAAGATTTTTATGATATGGGATGTTAGTGCTATTGGTCTGTAGTTCTTTGCTGTTGCTTTACTGCCCCCTTTGTGGAGTGGGGCTATGTCTGTTGTTTTTAGTAACTGTGGGACGACCCCCGTGTCCATGCTCCCTCTCCATAGGATGGAAAAGGCTTGTGATAGGGGCTTCTTGCAGTTCTTGATGAACACAGAGTTCATGAGTCTGGCCCTGGGGCAGAGTGCATGGGCATGTCATTTATCGCCTGTTCGAAGTCATTTGGCGTCAGGATAACATCGGATAGGCTTGTGTTAATCAAATTTTGTGGCTCTCTCATAAAAAATTCATTTTGATCTTCGACTCTCAGTCTGGTTAGCGGCTTGCTAAAAACTGAGTCATATTGGGACTTGAGTAGCTCACTCATTTCCTTGCTGTCATCTGTGTAGGACCCATCTTGTCGATTTTGATTTGGCATAGGAGAAGAAATACTTTGGGTTTCTTTCGATTTCATTTATGGCTTTTAGTTACTGTAGACAATTTACAAGTACAATTGAGTTATTTTAAACAGTGAATTTGAACAGTTCAGTTTTGAAGCATTGTAGTTTTACGATTTTGTAACATTACAGTTAGTAATATAACAAAATGATCAGTTTACTATATGTAGTAGTATAATTTAATAATCAGATCTAATCAAATCAAATCAATGATGTGTAGTGCAGTAACAGTTCATATGATCATTAGATGAGTTATAGCGCATCCAAGAGAATGGATTATTCTATTAGGTAATGCTATAAAAACATAGTTTGATAAGGTTTCTCTAATTATACAACTGGGTTATACATTTATGAGATATAAGTTATGCAATATTTGCATTAGGTTAGATATGAGAATTTATTGATCTGTGAGCATTTAATTATGGGGTCCTAAGGCTAGGGGAGTAACACAGAGAGTAATGATATTTTGAGGCAGTTTACCTGGAGTTTACCTGGAGAGAGTTCCGGGGGTCAACGCCCCCGCGGCCCGGTCTGTAGGTAAAGTTAAATTAAATGCTGTGTAATTAGTTTTGGGTGAGTAGGTGGTTTTTAAGAAGAGTCTTGAATTGATATACAGTGTTTCTTTGGTATTCACTGGTAATGAATTCCAAATTTTTTGGGCCTTTTATGTGCATTGAGTTTTTACATAGTGTGAGATGGACACGGAGAACATCAAAGAGTGATCTGTGTCTTGTGTTATGGTCGTGTGTTCTTAAGGTTGGTAAGGAGAAGTTTGAGGGGAGGGTTTATATCCGAGTTTAATGTTCTATGTATGTAGTAGGTACAATAATAAGTATGGATGTTTTGTACGGTAAGTTTAGACTTTTGAATAATGGTGGAGTGTGCTGTTTGGAGTGGGAATTTGTTATCATTCTGACTGCAGCATTTTGCTGGGTAAAAATTAAGGGTCTGAGATGATTTATTGTTGTTGAGCCCCATGCACAGATTCCATAGGTGAGACAGGGGTAAATAAGTGAGTGATTCAGGGCAATGAGAGCTGATTGTGGAATAGTACCGTATCTTCGATAGTATGCCCACGGTCTTGGAGACTTTCTTGGAAAGTTGTACATGTGTCTGAAATTTGAGGCGATTATCAAGGTGGATTCCTAAGAATTTTCCCTCTGTGAGTTTTGTGATAGGTGATTCGTTTATCATTATGTTAAGGGGAACATTTGTAGCTCTGTTCCCAAACTGAATGAAATAGGTTTTGTCAATATTGAGAGTAAGCTTGTTAATCATCATCCAGGTAGATATTTTCTGTAATTCAGTGTTTAGTATCGGCTATTATGACTGGGCTTGGGTGAGAGCAGACGTATGTAGTGTTATCTGCAAATAGTATGGGTTTGAGTAGTTGAGATGCATTTGGTAGGTCGTTTAAGTAATTGAGAAAGAGAAGTGGGCCATGGACACTTCCCTGTGAGACACCGATTGTAATGGTTGTGTGGAGGAGTTAGCTCCGTTCGTGTACACATATTGGCTTCTGTTGCTAAGGCATGACTAGGTAGTTGAGGGAGTGCCTTCTTATACCATCATGTGATAATTTATATGCAGCAAATCATGGTCAGCTGTATCGAAAGCTTTACGTAGATCAATGAAGATTCCCAATGGGACTTCTTCTTTCTCAAGTGCTGTGTATATTAGTTCTAGCATGTGTATAATAGCATCATTCGTGTTTTTATTAGGCCTGAACCCAAACTGACAGGGGTTGAGTATGTTGTGGGATACGAGGTAGGAATAGATCTGCCTATGAATTAATTTTTCAAAGAATTTAGAGACCTGGAGACCTGGACCTGGAGAGAGTTCCGGGGGTCAACGCCCCCGCGGCCCGGTCTGCGACCAGGCCTCCTGGTGGATCAGAGCCTGATCAACCAGGCTGTTGCTGCTGGCTGCACGCAAACCAACGTACGAGCCACAGTCCGGCTGAGAGAAGGGGTAAGTTAGATATTGGCCTATAGTTATTCAGGTCTGTTTGATCTCCTCCTTATGAGAATTGAGGGGAAGGTAGAGGATTCGATGAATTTGTTAGAGTGTTGCAATAATTGGTGACAGCACTTGAGAAGCTTTTTTTTGTACATAAAGGGTGGTAAGTTATTTAAATCTCCTGCCTTGTTCTTTAGTGTGTAACTTGATCATGATTGTGACCAGATCTAGTTTATTACCTTTGTAATTTGTTCAGCTATCAGAACTTTGGGGCCCAGTCCCTGGACCCATTATGTACCTCTAATCTTTTGACTACCGCCCACAGGATGGGTATGGGGTGCGTAATAAAGATATTAAACATAACTGCCCGGCTGCCCGGGGAGGTCTACTGGCCCGGAGGTTAGCCAGAAGATTCCTTGGTGTACTTCTTAGTGTAACTTGGTAATTTGGTATTATATAATGGCGGTGTGCCACTGTCATCGGGCAATGATTGCTACCGAACAATGACTGCCATCAATTGATATCAACTTACACCAGAGAGCACTGAGTAGTCCTATTGGCCCGTCCCTTTCAACTTATGTTCATCTGACCTCTTCTATATATATTCTAGCTACTCTGTATTAGGACTGAGGAAGCCACTCATGGAGAAACGTTTCCTGAGTAAATGTCTTGATCAGTGCGTCTTTTTAAACCTGTGGGAAGAGAGGAAACCAGCCCAGTTATTTTGCTAACAAATTGTATCCCATGTACACACGCCATTATTGCCCCAACCCAAGCTTAGCGGCGCAGTTTCGTTGTTATAAATAAAACGGAGTAAGAAAGGTGATGATGAATCAGCCAGGAATGAGAGTGGTAGCGTTCACAAACACTCAACACAAGTAACCCCTCTCTCACTATATTATTTAAATATAAATATAAATAATACTTCCACCTTCGAGATAGCCCTTAATTATATCCTATTCTTCGTTAGAATAATCCCCGAAAGTAACATATGTATTTTTCTGTTCTTGAACGTGTAAATAAATCTTGTAAACAAACAGGTGAGAGAGATACTTCTTGGCAGCAGTGTAGCAGAAGACTGTAGACTGTATTTGTCTTGTCCTTGCCCTCGAGAAACAGGTGAGCAACAGCACACTGTTTTTCCACTTAATTTAGCTCAGTTGTTTTTTTTCTCGTGGCTGTGTTTCATTAGATAAGTCCAGTAGACTTGCAAATGGAGGGGCGTTTCTCTATGGAATAAGGCGTTAAGGATATAATTAGTTATTATGGCGGCTTTTTAGCATGTGAGGAATTAATATTGCTGTATATACCGGCCAGCTGCCCCGGTAAACCATAAGTTATTATTATTTTTAATCGATTATTTACCTCCACTGACCGAAATTAGATTTAGTTACATTGCTTTGCAGGAAGATTGATATGTAAAGAATCCATATTGTGTATCTTATCTAGCTGGTATTCTATGTAATATTACAGTTTAGTGTTACATTAGTCGTTTTATATTATGTCTTCAGAGTTAATATGAGTTTAATATAAACAGCCAGTTGCTATATAAATAAATATGTGACTTAATAAAGTAAGTAGCCTTAATTGGTACTTCTTTTTTGTCCATAATGGTTTATCAAAGTAACTTGATTATCAAACAGCTTCTTGCCATATTTCCATAGGGAAATGCATTAAAAACAACAGGAATCAAAGCAATGGGTGCCATTGCCTGTGGGATGTCTTTGGTCTTGGGACAGTCCTTATTTAATAAAGACATACTGTGTAGGCAGGACACTTACCATCAAGACTGAGGGTACAGTATCATTGTGGTGACCTTGCAGTGAAAGGACCCCAATGGGAATAAATCACTGACTTTTTTTTGGGTTATCATAGGTAATCTACATATATGCTGATATGTATGATAATTTATGTAACTGTGTGTACCTGTACCTGAATGAACTTACTTTCCTAAAGTAAAATGGGTATAAGCTTGGTCTGTACATGTGGGAGAGTATAAAATTATTGTTGGTATACAAAACCAACAAGTTGATGAATAAGGCACATTTGCAACACTTGGGTATCTTTATTGCAGAACTATTTTGCTTGCATAACAGGATTCTTCAGTTGGAAACAAATGAATACAGTATTGTATTCTGTACTGTATTCACCTGTATGTGACCGAACAAGCCTGTTGTGTGGACAAAATGTTTTTGTAATAATGATACCAAAGTGTTGCAGATGTGCCTTATTCATCATGCTCAAAGAGTATGTACATGTGAAACTGTATTCACCCATATGTACTCAATTGTGCATGGGGTTACAGGGGTCATGTCCAAGTTCATAACCCTGCCTCTTATCAGAATTGCTCCAGTCTATCATCATGGGCCGTATCATACCTGTTCTTAAAATTGTGAATGGAGCTAGGCTCCACCACCACCACTTCATCAAGGCCATTCCATTTCCCAACAACCCTGAGGCTGAAGAAATACTTCCTGATATCCCTATGGCTCAAATGTCTTTAAATTTTAGCTTTGTCCCCAGGTATGCTATCAACCATGCCTGAAGCTCAGTTGATCGTGCACTTCCCTCATACTAAGTGTCCATGGTTCAGTCCCCAGCATGAGTGGAAATGGGCATATTTCCTTACACCTGCTGTCCCCTGTTCATCTAGCATTAAGTAGGTACCTGGGTGTTAACCGACTGTTGTGGGTCACATCCTGAGGGGACAAGATTAAAGACCTCATTGAAAATAAGACAGGCAGTCCCAGATGTTACACTGACTTTATTGGGTTATCTTGGGTGGCTAACCCTCCTGGTTAAAAATCTGAACAAAATTTTGTCACTCTTCTCTTCCTGCCTCTCGAACAGCTTATCCCAGTCTACCCTATCAGTTCCTTTTAGGTATTTTGTATATTGTTATCATGTCTTCCCTGGTTCTTCTGTCCTCCAAAGTCATTAGGTTCAAGCCAGTTAACCTCTTCTCATAGCTCTTACCCCTTAATTCTTGTGAGTATATATGCATGCGAGTGTACTCGCCTGTTTGTAGTTGCAGGGGTCGAGTCACAGCTCCAGTGAGCATGCATATGTGTGTGTGTATGCGCACGCATGTATTAGCATGTGTGTGCCTGTGAGCATGTGTGTATGAGAGTGTGTGCATGTGGGAATGTGCATGTAGGAGCATGTACATGTAGGAGCATGTACATGTAGGAGCATGTACATGTAGGAGAGAGTGCATGTAGGAGTATGTGCATATGAGAGTGTGTATTCATGACAGTGCATTTTAGTTTTTCAATTCAATTCAATTCAAAGTTTATTCTCTATAAGGATTACAATGCTGAGTATACAGAATTTGGTTATTGTGTGGTTTACATGTAGTAAAATAATAATTACAGAGTGTACCACTAGAACACCTAGCATGGCTAGGCATTTCGAGCAGACTTAGTTTAATTCCTAATTTTAAAGTATTACAAATTATGAGGTAAGCTGGTATTATGGCTAAGTGACTAAATACTAGTTTGTGAGTTTAGCAATGTGAATGCTTTTGTTTTGGCATAGTACATAGTTTCAGTATTGGAGTATCACAGGCCAACTTATGACTAGTTTGGATTCATTATTTTAACCCTTTGACTGTTTTCGACGTATAAATACGTCTTACGAGCCAATGTTTCTGACGTCTATATACTCAATAATTCTAGCGGCTTCAAATCAAGTGGGAGAAAGCTGGTAGGCCCACATGTGAGAGAATGGGTCTGTGTGGTCAGTGTGCACCACATAAAAAAAATCCTGCAGCACACATTGCGTAATGAGAAAAAAAAAACTCTGATCGTTTTTTTGGAATAAAACGCCGACTTTGAGGTGTATTTTCGTATAGTATTTATCGTTGTATTCGCGTTTTCATGGTCTTAGTTGATAAAATGGAAAACATATTACAGAAATAGAGATGATTTTCATTACTTTTACGATGAAAACGACCTTGAAACTGAGCTCAAAGTAGCGGAAATGTTCGATTTTTACCAATGTTCAAGAGTAAATAAATCACACCACACGTCCAATACACGTCAACTGGGGAGTCTAATATTCTTTCACTAGTGCACTGATATTATTTATACCATTTTTACAATAATGCAGTCGTCTGCATAACAGTAAATTTTGTATTTTTTTGTATGAATAAAAAATCAAAATAGAAAGCAATAATAATATAAGAGGGGCCTAGAGATGTGACTAATGAACAGAGCATATGTTATTTTAGTGCCACGAATGTCTACCTTGTTTATTCTGGACCCTATTTTGAAATTGGCATCTTTTTTATTTTGCGTGAAATTGGCCAAATTGCCAATTTCTGACCACCATATTGGGTAGTCCAAATTAGTAAATGGGAGGTTTCTTGTGCTCAGCTGATAGATAAAATGGAGTTCTAAAGAAATAGCTATGAGTTTGGTCAACTGGAACAATGGAATTGGCTGAAAATTGGGCTCAAAGTCGGCGAAATCGCCGATACGCATATGTCGCCGAGACCGCTAACTTCGCGGGAGCATAATTCCACGAGTTTTCGACCAAATTTCAAACTTTTGGTGTCATTACCATCGGGAAAAGATTCTCTATCATTTCATAAGAAAAAATAATTTTTTTTTTTTTCAAAAATTGAGCGACATAGAATGACAGTTTCAGAGAGGGGCCTGAAACAGTCAAAGGGTTAAGATTGAGATTAATATTTCTGTTTATGGACAAATGGGTGAGTGAGTGTAAGTGTGAACCACCAGGTGGTATTCATGTTGTTAGTTGACGGGGTGTATCAGGGAGATAAGATGTTTTCTAATGGTAGTTTTGAAGGTGATGAATGTGTCTGCAGTTCTAGGGTTTTCAGGTAGGGTATTCCAGATTTTAGGGCCTTTGACATACATTGAATTTTTGTAAAGGTTTAGTCGGACACGGGGAATGTCATAGAGATGTTTGTGTCTGGTGTTATGCCTGTGGATTCTGTCACAACTATCAAGAAAGCGTTTTAGGTCAAGGTTAATATTGGAATTTAAGGTCCTGTAGATGTAGATTGCACAGTAGTAAGTGTGGATGTACTGAACAGGGAGTAAGTTTAGATCTATGAAGAGTGGGGGTGTGTGTTGCCAGGGATGGGATTTAATGATTATTCTTACTGTGGCTTTTTGTTGGGTTATTATTGGCTTTAGGTGTGTTGCTGCAGTTGATCCCCAAGCACAAATAGCATAGGTGAGGTATGGATAAATAAGTGAGTGGTATAGTGTGAGAAGGGCATTTTGCGGCACATACTATGGTATCTTGGAGAGGATCCCAACTGTTTTGGATACTTTTTTGGTTATGTGTTGGATATGGGTGCTGAAATTCAGGTTGTTGTCAAGGTATAGGCCTAGGAATTTGCCCTCGTTATGTCTGGTAATTGGAGTGTTGTCGATCTTAATGTTAATATGCGCAACTCCTGCTCTGCTACCAAACATAATATAGTAGGTTTTGTCAGTGTTAAGCGTAAGTTTATTGGCTGTCATCCAAGTCGATATTTTGATCAGCTCCTCGTTAACAATGGTGTTGAGGGTGGCAAGATTAGGACGAGAGATGACATAAGTCTTGTCGTCAGCAAATGCATTTTTTTTTTTGTATTTGGTCATTTGGTGCATATTTGGTGGTCCCATACTTGTTTTTGGTAAAAATTGATCAGGAAATTGTTATTTTTCTTTTTGATTTTCTTTATTTATAATGTGGCACTACAACATTAAGCCATTATATTGGGGACAGGTTCTCATAAAGCAAAACTGTTCTCATATATGCCCCTATCTAGTAAGCAAAACTAAACTAAGTTGCTGATCAGGAATTACATACCGTATCTTGATACAATATACGTAGTTGTATATTTATATACATCTACATATATGCAGTAATTTCACATGCTTCTCATGTTTAAAAAATATCCTATTTGTGTGTTTTTCAGACCCACAATTAAAATGTACTTACCATCGCCAAGGCCAGAAATGTCATCCATCATTGTTAGTAATCACAACAATACATATGCCTAGATCAGGTAAGATACAGTGTATAGATAATGTGTCTCAAGATAAATTTCAGATATTTTTGACCATAAGTAATGTTAAAATGGATATGAATTAATCTTAAAACTTTCTCTTATTAGAATTTATCTTTTGTTCTCTTAAATATTTATTGATTATCCTATCTTATAAACAGTATTTTTCTTACATAACACTTTGTACTTATGCCTCCTTTCAGCTCCTTAACATTAACATATTGTATATGAACCATCCACACATGAAAGGAAACTTGTGATGATATTTCAGTCCATCCTGGACTGTTGTTGAGTCACACCTAGCAGTAAAAAGTAGAAAGGACCAAAAATCAGGTCAGGAAGAGGGAGGGAGGGAGGAAAGAGGAGTGAGTAGTCATAGTAGTAGTAGTATTAGTAGTAGTAATATTAGTAGCAGTAATATTAGTAGCAGTAATATTATTAGTTTTAATACTAGTAGTAAAGTACTTGTAGTAATAGATGTAATAGAGGTACTACAGTAGTAGTAGTATAGTAGGAAAAGGAGTAGCAGTGCTGTAGTTATAATAGAATTAGTTGAAGTAGAAATAGTAGAAAGAATACTAGAATTAGTTGTAGAAATAGTAGCAGTATATGTATATTACATCTCAGGGTGGTGGAGAAGCAGGTGACTTCACTCACAAATACATGTCTCCAAGATGCTCACTTACAAAGGTGATCACAAGTACACCTACCATCCAACTTACGACCTGCTCGACATACAACGACTCGACTTATGACCGTGTTTTTTATGCCAAATTTCTGGGAAATAAACAAGTGTTTGTGTTGTACACAGTGTTTATCCTAAACCTTACAGTATAAAATACAGTACTAACAGCATAAAAAGTAAAGTAAAACATGAAATACCAAAATAAAACAATAAAATAAAGTCATTACAAAAATGTTATGTTGATATTCAGTAGTAAAGTTCGACTTACGTCCATTTCGACTTATGACCGGTTTCTCAGAACCGAACTCGGTCGTAAGTCGGATGGTAGGTGTATTACCTCTGAAAAGTAGCGTCCTTCCTCTCTGACTTGCGAACAAAATCTTGTTAACAACCCTCTTGATCACAACAAGAGAACTTTCAGTATTAAACTTTGTGCTTTGCAATCCCTGTCCACATGACCTTGATCTTGTCAAATGTTTTTGTGATAACTGTCCCTCTCTACCTTATTTCTATGGGACTCCTTAATCTCACAAGCCTAATTTATATTCCTCTATGCCCTAACATTTCCTCAAAAGAATGTCTCTCATCTTCCCTCCTGGCTGCTCAAACATCTCATTTCATTTCTTGGCTCTTTTTCTCCTGCTCATCTCTGTCACTCAAAATTTTATTGAACATGTGTGACCACATACTACCTGTAAGATGTAAGTCTTGATGATGAGTCTCTCTCTTTACTAATGTTCATCTTGATGAGGTTCTCACTGAGAAAAGGCAAATGGAGGGCTACTACATATTCCTGTATCCACTAATATCTTTATCTTATAAATTCGTACTATTGGTGAATGTCTCTTGACTTTGTGATAATTTTGTTTTCTGGCCACATAACTCTTGTCTCTTGTAACCCTTTCTTGATGCTCTTAACATCTATTAAGTTCTAAGCTTAATGAAATCTAACTCATAGCTTCCTCTACTTGATGTTCGTCTACTGCTCTGTGGCTTCCATTAATTAAGGAAAATGTTCTTGTCTCTCTCTGCTGTCTGCATCTGTAGTCCTCAATTTCTTGACTCTGAGGTTTCCACTCTTCACAACTTATTCTCTTGCTTTTCCTATCCTAATTTCATAAACTCTGCATACACCCATGCTAAATGGACTTTCTTTTCTCCAATACCCACTTCTGCAAAAGCTTCTTTACTTTGCCTTCCCTATACATTCACTCCACAAAATCTTGACAATTTCCTCCATGCACTAGACTTCAAACTTGCATTTTGCCAAATACACTTCATGTTAATCTAGTTCATACCTTTTGTCTGTCATGTTAGAAAACATAGCCATCCTCTAAACTGGCTTTGCTAAAAAATATCTACCCTTCACAGATGCTGTTTTATTGAATCAAATCTTGTACACATTTCTAACATGGTCCATGTTTTGTTTCTGTAGATGCTTGCTTCTCTCAATACTCTGTCAAATGCTATAATCTCCAGAACACCTGTGACTTGATCAAACTTTTGTGCTCTCCTCACCTTTTCTTTAGACCTGTTGTCTGTATTTCCTTTGCCTTTACTAATCTTGCTGCTTTCTTTCTTACTTTGCATGGTCCAGTAGGTCTTCTGCAGTGGTTTTTAAGTTTATTTGTTTCTTTGTGAGTGATCTCCTTGGGGATGTGTTAAGACTGGAGTCACCTGTTTCTTCACAACCTTGAGATGTAATATACCTACAGGTTTTGTACTACAGGTTCAACACCAATTTACAGGTAACAGATGGTCTAGCACTTCTTTTAATCAGGAAAAATTATGAGGCTACGTACATCTTTTACCAGATTAGTTTACTGGGTGGCCATAAATGGCATTGTATGTAGTTCATACTCACTTATATTGTTTACACTGCAGTTGTTGTTGGTGACCCCTTGGTTTTGCTAACAACCCTTGTAATGGCTATTTCTTTATGTGGTACAAATAATGTAGTTTACATGTAATAAAAAATTTGTAGTCACAAAAGAAAGCCAGTAGTATGCAGGGCATTTCGGGAAAACTAATCCTAATGCTTAAATATTACTTAAGATTTAGACATAGACTATTAAGTAGGGTTTCTTATATGGTTAACTACAGTGGAACCCCAAGTTTCGAACTTTCTTCATTCCAGAAGGCTGTTCGAGTGCCGTTACCGAACGAATTTATTCCCATAAGAAATAGTGTAAATTAGATTAGTCCATTTCAGATCCCCAAAAATATACCTACAAAAGCACTTACAATAATACACTTACATAATTGGTCAAGTTGGGAGCAGTTCGAAACTCGGGGTTCCGCTGTACAATCAAATGTATAATAAGAAAGGTAGCTAATGAACAAATGATACAGTTTCAGAAGTATGACTTATCATATCAAACTCATTCAGTGATCTTCAGTTTTGTGGAGTGAGTGAATAGAGATGGTGAAGATACAGGAGGTTACTTAGTTACAGTAGTTGTTAGTATCTTTGGCTAAGGACAAGTTAATTGTCAGGTGAATTAATCAAAGGGCTAATGAATTTTTATTTGATGCATGAAAAATTACGCAGGGAAAGATTAAAGCACGTGAAACAACTTCTCTTGGATGAAATATTTAAAAGATAGCCAAGAAGAATGTGTGTCATAGCAGTAGGCCTTCTTTTGAAAAATATATGGCTTCAACATCAAGTACTCCAGATGTCCTCCCTGTAACTTCACAAATCCACGATGAAACAGTCAGCTATGAAACAGACGGTAATCCTGACAACCCTCAACTTACAGTTTCAGAAAAATTCTAAAATTTATCACTTTAGTAGTGGTAGTACTGCAGCAATCTTTGTAAGTACAGTAATTAATAAAACCGTTTCATTTATACTAATGTTTAATTTAAGTTTCCAGCAGACCATGGTGAGTCAGAGATGTATTGTTTAATTATTACGTGACCTCTGTTGGTCTGGCAATCTCAGTATACCAACAAGGCCAGGGAACTAAGGGTGCTGGAAAATCAGTGTTGTACCTGTACTTAAACAACAACAACTACAACAACTACAACAACAACTACAACAACAACTACAACAACAACAACAACAACTACAACAACAACTACAACAACAACAACAACTACAACAACAACTACAACAACTACAACTACTACTACTACAACAACTACTACTACTACAACAACTACTACTACTACTACTAGTACTACAACAACTACTACTACTACTACAACAACTACAACAACTACTACTACTACAACAACTACTACTACTACAACTAATACTACAACTACTACTACAACTACTACAACTACTACTACAACAACTACAACTACTACTACTACAACTACTACAACTACTACTACTACTACTACTACTACTACTACTACTACTACTACTACTACTACTACTACTACAACTATTACTACTACTACAACTATTACTACTACTACAACTATTACTACTTACATACTACTACAACTACTACTACAACATCTACTACAACAACAACTACTACTACAAACTACTACTTACAACAACTACTACTACAACAACTACTACTACAACTACAACAACTACTACTACAACTACAACAACTACAACAATACAACAACTACAACTACTACTACTACAACTACTACTACAAACAACTACTACTACTACTACTACAACACTACTACTACAACTACTACTACTACAACTATTACTACTACAACTATTACTACTACTATGACTATTACTACTACTACAATTACTACTACTACTACTACTACTACTACTACTACAACTACTACTACAACTACTACTACTTCTACTTCTACTTCTACTTCTTCTTCTTCTTCTTCCTCTTCTTCTTCTTCTTCTTCTTCTTCTTCTTCTTCTTCTTTCTTCTTCTTCTTCTTCTTTCTTCTTCTTCTTTCATTCTTTCCCAGCCTGTATTCTGACCTCTGGGTTTTCTGTTGTGACCTGACAGTGGTCCACTTGTCTTATCCAGCAGGCAATAATGTTTTAAAGCAAGCAGTAATGAAGTATACATTACAGTAGTCTGGATTGGACAAAAAGTGTCATGTGTTTCCTCTCAAGTGTAGGTTCTTTGTGCATTGTTCCAGTCATGGTATTGTGACTTTTATTCTACATATTATATATTATACTGTACTCATTTTAATCTTTTTTTTTTTTTTAATTTCAGTAGATGAAAAAATTTAGAAATGGCACAGAGTGACATTAACATAGACTGGCAGACTAAACTTAGATATATCAGCCAGAGGGCAGGTCACGTTTTGGAATCGGGGCAGTGGACTGATTGTACCTTTATTTTTGGGCAATAAAATAATCAAAAATTTGAGTGACAAATAAAATTTAATTTTTCCTTTAAAAAAATAGTGTGGTATGTATAAAATTCACCACCCCTTCATGTTTAAAAACATTACGGTATTTCTGGGTGAAACTAAAGGGTTTTTTTTCATGTACAGGGGAAAACCCAGCTTAAAACCCCCCCACCTTGCGAATTTTTGGGAATACAAAAACAGTCACTAATCGTTTTTTTTGCTTCGGGATACAAAACAAAATTTTTCAGGAGAAACTGCCCCCTCAAGGGAGGTTCCTTGGTGGGGGGCTCTTGATAAAGGGAAATTGGGATCTGTGCCCCATTTCCCCTTTAAATTAAAAAACAACAAAAAACAACAAAAACAAAATAATAATAATAAAAATTTATAATAATAATAATAAAATAAAAACTTTAAAGGAGGAACACTGCAGCGGGGTCTTTGGGCCCCATACTAGGCAGGTCCTTCATAATTCATCCCACTAACAGAATTTTTCCCCAACTCATTTTTTAGTTTACCCAAGCAATAAGTTTTGGGATAATTCTATTTACTATTTTAAGCCCCCAACCAAACCAACCCCTCCCCACCATGTATTTTTTTTTTTTTTTTTTTTTTTTTTTTTCAAAAAGTCGGCCGTCCCCCACCGAGGAAAAGGGGTGACCCAAAAAAGAAAGAAAACCCCCCAAAAAGAAAATATTTTTTTTTTTTCTTTTCCCTTTTCAACACTTTCACCACACTGCACATTATCACTTTTTTTGCAGAGGTGTCAGAATAAAAACAGCCCTAAAAACAAAAAACATATAAAGTACACAAAAATTTTCCCCCAAACTGCCAATATCCCAACCCCCCCCTTTAAAGTGCGGGGCTTTGGGAAATTTCCCCATTCCGGACCCAAGCCCGGACTAATGAAAAAAACCGGTTTCCCGGGAACCCCTTTTCCACTAAATATTACCCTGCCCCACCCTCAAACAGATCGTCGGGTTTCCCCAAGTACCTTTTCGTCCCCCTTCCCCTTCCTAAACACGCCAGCAGCTTGCGGAAGTCCAAGCCCCTTACCCCAAAACCCCTTTCCCCCCTCTCCCCAAACCCTTTTTTCCCGGGACACCCCTACCCCCCCTTTCCCTTTCCCCCTATAGATTTATATGTTTTTCCATGTCATTCTACGGGGGTTTCCATTTCTCCCAAATGCCCAAAACCCCTCAAAAACCCCCCCTCTTCTGCCCTCTGACTAATACTTTTTTTAAAACCCCACCCTTTCCTCCAATTTCCACACCCGAATTTTCGCAAAAATTTTTACACCCCAAAATTCCCCCCCCTTAAACGGACATCCCCGCTCCCCCCCAACCCTTTTCTCCTGGGCCCCTTGCATTTACCACCCAAGCTTCACCCCCATATAAGAGGGGTTGGTACTACTTTACTTTCATACATTCCCTTTTTTGCCTCCATAGAAAACTTTTTTTGACTCCACATTTTCCTCAACGCACCACCCCCTTTTTTCCCCCCATCAATTCTATGTTTAAAACCTCATCCTTCAAAAAATCCATCCGCCGAAAAGTAAAATCCCAGTATCTGAAAACATTCACTTTTTTCCATACTCCTCCCCCCCAAAATTTGATACCTTTTTTTTCTTTATCAAAAATCATTTGACACCCTCATCCCCTTACCTTTTCTATGTTCACTTTCAATTTTTCTCCCCTTTACACACATTCCCAAACTCATCCACAAACCCTTTTAAAAATTTTTCCCTTTAAAATCTCCCATAAACCAGTATCATCAGAAAAAAGAAACTGTGTCAATTCCCATTTTGAATTTGTTTCCCCATAATTTTTAATCCCACCCCCCCCCAAAACACCCTAGCATTTACTTCCTTTACCCCCCAATCTAAAATATTTTTAAAAAACCAAATGGTGAATTACACACCCCTGTCTAAGACCTACTTTTCCCGGGGGAAGTAGTCCCCCTCTCTTCTACAAAACCCAAAACCTGAGCCTCACTACCCTTTCAAAAAAAACTCTTTACAGTTTTAATAACTTACCACCTTTCCCATATACTTGCAACATCTCCACTTTGCTCCTCTACCACTCTATCAAAACCCCTTTTTCTAAACCCAAAATGAAATAAAAACTTCCTATCTTATCTAAAACTTTTCAAAATATATGTTAAAATGTAAACCCCCCGATCTCCCACACCCCCCTCCCCCACTCAAAACCCCCTGCTCATCCGAAATCCTACTTTCTGTTTTACCTCAAATTTCCCTTTAAATTTAAAACCCAAACCGTACATTTTTCCCTTTGGTATACTCATTTAACTTTTTCCTCTATAATTTTTAACAGTCTCTTTTGTCCCCTTTTCCCTTTATTGGGGGGGCTTACATGCTCTCTGCCAATCCCTGGTCCTTTTCCCCCTTTCATACATTTATTAAAAAAAAAAGTACAACCACCCCAAACACTATTTCCCCCCGCTTTAACATTTCGTCATGATCCCATCATTTCCCAGCTGCTTTCCCCCCTTTCATTTTACGTAATGCCCCAAAGTACCCCCCCCCACCCTTCCTTTTCTCTTCTTCACCCTAAAAAATGGGATACCTCCCTGACCCGTTTCATGAAATTACTGCCCCTTGGTTTTTTCCTTAACAAAATTTTTTTGTTTTCCCCAAAAAAATTCTCGCCTCTCCCAATTTCCTCCATCTCCCCATTACTAAAATCCCCCCTCTGTTTTTTTTAAATGAAAAAAACCCTTTTTCCCTAGGGTTTTTTTAATTTTTAACTCACTCCAAAATTTTTTTTTTATTTTCATTAAAATTTTTTGACAGTGCCCCCTCCCACTCTATCATTGCTCTCCTTTTGCACTCTCTCACCCCTCTCTTTACCTTTTTTTTACTCTCCATATACTCTGCTCTTTTTATAACACTTCTGCTTTGTTTAAAAACCCCTCATAACTACCCTTTTTTTTTTTTTATCCCCACCCCTTTTCTTCATATTCCACCAATCCCCTCCTTTTTCCTCCTGCCCCCCCCCCCTATAACCACAAACTTCTGCCCCCCATTCTAATTTCTGGGATTTTTTTAAAAAATTCCAACCCTCTTCAAACCCCCCACTACTCTCTTTGCACTAGCCCCCTTTCTGCCAATAGTCCCCTTATATCTCAAACCCAACTTCCCCCTCCCTTAGTTTATACACTTTCACTTCCCTTTTTACTTGTTGGTTTCCACCTTCCTCTTTTTCCCCAACCCCCCCCCTTTACTCTAACTGTAGTACAACTAAAAAATGACCGATATATCAGTTTCCCCCCCTATAAACATGTAAACCTGGGGGGGCCTACCCATCAACCCTTTTTTCCACCAATACATAATCTAATAAAAAACTACTTTCATTTTCGTGCCCACATCTTTCCTTGTTAAAATTTTTTTTATCCTCTTTTTCATAAAAATTTTGTATTAAATTATTTCCCAAAAATTTTTTTCTAACATAGCTCAATTTAAAGGGGTCCCCATTTACATTTTACCCTGGGGACCCCAAAATTTTCCTACTACTTTCCCCCCCCTTAAAATTTTTACCCAACTTTAGCATTAAAAAACCCCCCAAACCCCCCATTACTCTCAAAACTTGATTCAAAATCCCCACGCATTAAATCAAAATTTCCCAAAATCTCTCTCCCCTCCTCTACACTTCTCTCTTTCCAGGTGCATACACGCTTATTAAACCCATTTTACCCTCCAAAACTTTATTTTACTTTCCAAAATAAATCCTTTAATTAAAACATTTATAGTCCCCCTTTTCCCGCCAAGCTTATCCTTCAAAATTTTTTGCTAAACCCTTCTTTAGCCCCTAACTCTATTTGAAACCCCCTACCTAATCCCCTTTATTCCCCTCCACTGAAACTTTCCCCCCCCCTTTTGCTTTGTTTCACTTAAAGCCAGGACATCCAAATTCCCTTTTCATTCATAACCCTCCACAATCATTCTTTCTTTCATCTGCACAACCTCCACGCCATTTAGACTCCCCTTTGACAATTTTCTTCTTTTATTTTTTTTAGTAAAACTTTACAGGGAAAAAGGGGGAAATAGCCATTTTTCCCGGGAAATTTTTGGGTTTCTTTTTTTCAACACGCATGCTTTTCGGAGGAAAGATTCTTTTCCCCCTTTCCCCCTGGATATAAAAGGAAAATTTAAAAAGACCAAGAATTTTAAAAAATCAAAGAAAACTCAGATGAGGGTGTAAAAAAAATGGTACATGTTGTGATGTGACCTAAAGTGTAAGGGAGAAAAATAGCAAGACATGCCCGTAATCTTGCATATTTATGGAAAACGGGAAAAAAACATCGGGAATCCCACCATCATGTTTAAAAAAATCACAGGCTTCGTTTTTTCACTCCCCTTGGGAGGACGGTAGTACCTCCCTGGGGGGTTTTCTGTCTACCAACCCACTACCTACATGTATTTATCCACCCTAAATTTTAAACACCCCAAAGGGTTTTTGCTTCGGGTAGAACCTTTTGGGGACTTTGAAAAAAGATTTTACAAATATATGAATGGGAAGGGGTGGGCTGATTATTTTCCCTGGGTCATACATGTAATAAAAAAAGGAAAAAGAGGAACACTGCAGTAGGCCTGTTGGCCCATACTAGGTAGGTCCTTCACAGATCCAACCCACTAACAGAATAAACATACCCAAGCAATAAGCATTGACAATTCTATTTATGCACCTTGCCTATGTGCTAATGGAGTTACAGGAAGCCGACATCAAAGAAATGCTGAACATTGACAATGATGCACCTGTTGTGCATTCCTTGAGTGATGGTGAAATTAGATGACTTGTGATAGATAAATAAGCTGTAGAGTTGATATTAGCATCATATTAAAATATTTTGTCGTGCCTCCTGAGAGCAGGAATTCCGGTGGAACGGATTAATGCCACGTCAGTTAATTTAAATGAGGAAAATTGACTCAGCATATGAACAAATCGGGATGCTCACAAGGTCACAGAATGGATTAAATTTGTAAGCCAAGGTTC